ACCCTCTGTCTTCAGCCTGATTTTTCATTTTCTTGGACTCTCCTTCCCCTCTTTTAGAAATGTTTTTAAACGGATGTTTTATGTATTTATATCTATTTATGTTTTTAATGTTCGGTGTGAGTCGCCCAGAGTTCCCCCATTGGGGGGAGATGGGTGGGTGAGTAAATAAATAAATAAATAAATGTTTGCAACCCAGAGCAGGTAGCGGTAAATAAGCCCTTCTCCCAGGGAAAAGACTGAGCTTCCAGGCCCCATGACTCTGCGTGGCAGAGTTAAACGGGAACGCTGGCAACGTCCTTCGGTTGGCTCGGTTCACCTTCCCCAGCACCGCCCTGAGCGCCGCAGCTGGTGGGGTTTCAAGAGTCGGGGCGTTTCCACCTCTGCCAGAAGACACCAAAAATGGAAGCTGCCGCGTCCCATTTGCAAACTTGGCCACTGACCCGCAGCTCCAAATTTAAGGAGAAGGGCCCTCCCCTCCTGCAGGCCCGGCCTGCCCGCCCCCCAAGAGTGGAGGCAGAAACAAGCGAGGGTTGTTAAGGTTCTTTATTGGTGTCTGTGCAGGTAAACACACCTGACCCAACTGGTTGTGCATCTCCGTAGGCTTCCCTTGACGCGTGGGGCAGCTAAGAGCCCCCCTTTCTTGTAATTGCTGTGGTTTGACCTTAGCCTCCCTGCCCCCCCCCGCCCATAACTGGTACAAGACACAGGGCCGCCACTGGCTTACCTGGGGGGGAAAGGAGGAGGGGGCGCAGAGGCTGCTGCCCCGCCTCCCCACCCCCACCCGTATCCCAGCAGGGGCCTTGGGGGAAAGGGGTCTCCTCCCCCCAGAAGTTAGCACCATGGAACAACAGGATTGTAATGACCTTGGAGGGGGCACCGTCAATGGGGGTCTTCCTTGGAAATGGGGGGGCAAAACTGGAAGCAGAGGAAATCCTCAGCAGCCCGCCCTCCCCAGAGCCCCACCAGGGCCACTGCAAGGTCAGAAACAGAAGCGTCCAAGACCAGATTTTGGGGAGGGCGGTGGAGAAATGGGGGTGCAGGGCTGGCCACCAAGCCATTCCTCTCCCTCCCACTTTGCCTGCCCCCCTGCTGGCGCTGGAGTGGCCATGCCCTGCCTCCGCTTGCGCCCAAATCCCCCCCACGCCACCCTTGGGTACCGTACGAACGGCCCTGCTGCCCTGCAAGCCTGCAAGCCACACGCCGGGGTCAGGCGGAGGGGGACCAGCCACAAGGAGACCCGGAAGCCCCAGAAGGCAGGTGGAGACCTGTTTGGGGGGCAGGGGGCGGGGTTAAGTGCACTTGGTGCTACTGGTGCAGAACTGGGGTGGGGGGACACACTGCCGTGGGGCAACCATGGCCTGATCGCTCCTCAAGCGTACCAGGGTTACCTTTCTCTGCTCCCTGTTTTGTGTTGAACAAATACAGAAGTAACGGTTGGCTCCTTGGAACATCTTAATTTAACCTAGGCAGGGTGTGTGTCAAAAAAGTCAAGATGGCGGTCATGATCGCACCAAGCCCCACCCCCTTCATGTGCTCACAGACATCCCTGAATCTAGAATTAACTACGCTTCTGATTCACCCTCCCAGCTCCCCGTTAAATTAACCCAGGATTAACGAAGCTCCTGTTCCCTTTTCTGGACTTTGCATTTCCTGAATTCACTACTGCCAACCGAATGCAATCAAAAATTATCCAGCATTACCTACCACCTCCTTCACCCCTCTCCGAATTAACCCAGAATTGATGCCCACTTCCTGGACCTGCCCTGGCCTCTCATTGCCCCCAGCCCCCCTCCCCTTTTATTCATGGGCAGCTGATAGGTTTGGGGAATGGGGAGGTTGCTGGAATTAGCAGGATGGGGGGGAGAGAGAACGTTACGTCCCCGTAACCCTAAAAGTTAGGTTTATCATGTGCAGGGTCCCTACCGACGTCAGCACAGAGGTGCAGAAAACACTGAACTCGCAGCCCAAACGTGCCAGGCCCATTCAGGTGAACGAGAGGGGCCTTTGGGGGTGCAGCACAAAGGCAGACTAAGTTCTGCGTTAACGAACGGCAAAGAAATCACGCCACGGTTCTAACTTTGCATAACCGATCCGGGTTCTCTGCAGCACGGAATGGTGAATTTTCCCTGTAGGCATCGACGGTCCCACCTTGTGGGATTTGGCACGCAGCTTGAAAATGAAAGCAGAGGGCTGAACGGGACGGGATGCCGGATTCTGGCGTCTAGTTAGAAAGAAATTCTTGGCGACTGGGGCGAGTGTGGCCTGGGGGAAGGGGGTCTAAGCCCACCTCCTGCACCATTTCCCACCCGCCAGGGGATTTGCTCCAGTATCTTCCCTTCCACCTACACAGGCCCAACAGCGATTAGCGTTAAGGCTGAAAATTTGCCCCCCGTCCCAAAGTCAGCTCCTCTTGAGCTTCCCGCCGCCCTGCAGCTGCGTCAAGGTTCAGAATCGGGGCTCCCGGACTGGGGCTGCAAAAACAAAGACGTCCATTAGAGGGCGGCCCAACTGAGAGTTTTGCTCCCTCTGGTGGCCATCTGGGTTTTTGCACCCCAATGGGGGAGACCTGGCCAAGATGCCCAGTGCCCAGTGGATGGAATCGGAGCCTTGCAGCCCCCAGCCGCTTGCCCCAAGGCCAGAAGAAGGGGGAAGGGAAAGGAAGGGAGCCCCCTTTGCTGCAATCTGCCACAGGCGATAGGAAGGCTGGGCCAGGAAGATGCCAACCTCGGGCCGATTAAGACCCCCCACCTCCCATTGGAGGGTCACGTTAAATGGCTCAGGGGTGGGAGGGGGAAGGTGTTCGGAGCCCCTGCCAGCCTCCCCTCCCTGGCTGTGTCCCCGCCCCTTGCCCGTTCGTCCTGCTTGTGCCCAGGTTTTGTGCATGAGTCGGGCCAGGGTGGGAAAGGCACACAGTCTGTTTGCGCTGGCTGGTGGCCTCCAGAGGCTGGCTGGGGCTGTGCGTGAGTCTCCCCCAGCCCCCTGGGGGTGCCCCTATTGTTCGGTGAGGGAGAGGCGCAGGATCCGCTCCAGCTCCTCCTGCTCCTGGCGGGAGCGCTGCTCGGCCTCCTCCTGCTCCTTGGCGGAGAGCTCCATGGCCAGGCGCAG